AGGGAGCCGTCCTGCGGTAAGAAGAACCTTCAGCCACTTTAAAATGTGCACTAATAATAGTCTAGCCCGGCAGTGCCTTGCGTATCAGGCTTGGGTGCTTTTTTTTTTTTTTTTTTAAACTTTCTCACTCATGATGCAAAAATAGTAAAATTTGTCTTCAGATTACTCAAGGCATAAACCAGCTAGCACAGAAGTTATTTGGATTACAGCATTCCAATATACTCCTCCTTTATCTGCCCTGCTAGTAATGGAACAGCCTCAACTCTCCTGTGATTGTATCTGTTCCATTATTCTCTGGCTTTGCTTTCCTTAGGAATGAAAACACTGAAGTAGCAGCCATCAGTTTTGTTCTGATCAGCACCATGCATTTATGTAAAAATCATTGTAATCAAAAGAAGGTTCTTCTAAGTCACTAGTTTTATATGCTTGTCAGATTTCAGGAACCTGCCTGAAAGTCTGAATTTGGGAATCAAAGGTTGAAGGTGCAAGCAATTTATTTTTTTATTTAAATAAAAGAAACGGCTTCTTTCTATTTCCCTCCCCCAGAACACGATAAATTCCCTCAATTATATAACAGTTTAACTGCTGCTATACTTTAAATATCTTGCTTGAATTATGGAAGTTGCTGAAAGGGCAGAACACTAAATGTACGCTCATCTGTTTACAAACTGAATGCCCCCAGCACCACACTTTACCAGCTTCATTTGAAGAGAAATTGCACTGTTCATTTTCATATATTGTGCGATCACAATAAGCTCCTCCGTATGCTGCTTCATAACCCGGATCATATTTTTCTTCTTTGACAGCCATCTTTTTAGCATCCTCTGCAGAAAGAGGAGACCTCAAGTATTAGTATTTTAAAGAAAAATATCAAAGAATATTTTTATCAGAGAACACTTGAAAAAACAGACATTTTTATTCCATGCAAAAGGTAATTCCAGCTCCCCTTAGATAATCAAGACTGTAGTAAGAAGAACATGGAATACAGTTCTTTACCAAGTGATTTAGGGAGGATGGGACATGCTTTCTTTTTGTCCGTAAATTCTTTATTTCCTTTTGCTCGAGCAACTGCTAGAGCAACCGCTGTGTGTGTTGTACAATACGCTACATTTTAAGGAAGGATTAACAAAATAAATCACTATACCTTGTGCAAGTTGCAAGTCAAACGTGTACTGCACCTCTTGCACGTCTGTGTTTGGTGCAATGCCCTTCAGTTGATCCCTTAGGTCTTTCAGCTTTATGTAATAATGAACTTTATCTTGGGCACGAGGAAACTGAGCACATCTTGCACTGGATGATGGCATAACATAGCAGAGCTTGAGACAAAACGCAAGAAAAACAGCATTATAAGCCCCTGAACTACAAACAAGTATTTAGCGCGTTGAGAAGAACTTCACGTTTAAGCTCACGTTACCTTGTACGAACATCAACTAATGCCCATAGTGGGAGAGATTAAAAGAAAAAGCTTTAAAGTTTCTTGGCCGGCTAGATGTCTTGCCCTAAAGAGAAAGGCTGATGACCAACTGTGGAAGCTAGGAGAATTTTCACCTGTTGTTTATGCGCTGCAGAAGCGATAGAAGTGCGTTACAAGAAGTACAAACGCATGGCAGTTAGTGGAGCACACTGAAGAGCTCCCTGAACAAGTGGAGATCTGAGCCAGAAAGTCCAGAGGACTACATGATACTGTGCAAACATCCCAATCCCGTGAGAGAGGCAACACGGGTTAATTAGCCTGGCTTCTCGGCCAAGCGTGTCTGCATCACACTTGCCAGCGTTTGAAATTTGTGTGGACAAAGACATCTCAAGTGTCTCTGCTTCTGTCAAGAGGCCTAACTAAAGACTTAAAGCTGGTTCAGAGAAAAGAAACTTTATCCAATATGTTTATTACAGGGTAGTATTTTTGAACGTGAACTCGTACCTAGGACTGTTTGTGTTTCTTACAAACATGACACATCTACTACAGACGTATTTAAGAGCTACTTAAGGATGAAGCATTTTATCACTAACAGTTCTTCAGGCTCTGATGGCAACGTTCCACCATTAGGGAAGGACATCTTAAACTTGCAGTAACAGTAATTTGGGATAGAGAGAGAGAACGAAAACAATCCAAACTTTTGAGCTGAAAAGGCAATGAAGCTTTGGAACAGGCTACCTTGGCAAGTAGTGTAATTGCGTTTGCTGGAGGTTTGTAAGAAGAGAATAAACAAACCTGTTTGGGATGATTTACAGATAGCTGGTCTCTTGAGATACCTTCCAGCACTAGAGGTCTGTGATGAATGCACTCTTCCTCAAACTGTTTTCTTGTACCTTAAGCGTTCCAATTTAATTTCAAGCTGCAAATCAGCTTAAGACGACCTACTCTTGGGCATGGCCAGATTATACAGATAATGCTGTATCTGTAGTGTGTAATAGCACAATGGTGGACTTAACTATTCTTTCTCCCTCACTGCAGCACTTCTAGCACTGTGATCACGTTCAGTATTCACATTCAGTAATATAAGCATACAGGGAATGGGTCACAGGTAATCATATGAAAGTAGCTGAGAGTTATCAACAAAGAATATGAGTTTTATTTATACTTTAGATGCCCTCCACAGAACGCACTAACCTGCTAACCCATAACACACTATTTTCAAAAGAAAATGAGCAAGTCTGCTGTCTTAAGATGCGTCTGAAAATCGCCCAATCCCACTTTATACTTTGGGCAAACTTTGCCATTGCTGTAAGTGGGTGCAATATTACAGTGGGTGCAAGCGGGTCCTGATATTTCATTAGTTTTGAAATAACCGAAATCAGAGTGCTTTGTTTTTGTTCCTCAGCATCAGTACTTACAGTTTCTGTATCTGGCACCTTGTGGGGCTGCAATCCAAATTCCAAATTTTTAACTTTTATTCCAAAAACTTCTTTACTGAAAATCTCATAAATACCTAAAATGAAATGAAGATAGGGTAAATGGACAGAAAAAGCAACTGACATAACAAATTCATTCAAAATTAAGGTTCTCACATTTTCCATTAAAAGCTGCTATACGAGGTTTATACTTTTGCAATTTCTGCACCAGAATTCGCCCTCCTTCCCGAAACTCTTTGCTAAAAGAGAACATAAAAAAAAAAAATAGTACTCAAAATTACAATGGCAACTATTACTTGATTATTAAGTTTGATATTCTCCTCTGTTATCCTACCTGGAGAGGTCTTTGCTTCCAGGTGTTGTCCTTTCCACCATGTTCGTAAATCCAATTCCATATTTATACGGTAAGGTGTGGTCATCCATATGGTTCAGCTGTTCATTACTTAAACCAGACATGAAGAGACACTTCCCTGTCAAGTGGCAAGATAAGCATTTGTCTTTTTTTTTTAAATAGACAGTATCGAAATGCTAAAGGAAGAGTTTATGTTAAGAAAGCATCGAGTTTACGTGGAAAGACTTTTCCCCTATCTAGACAAATTTAAAACAGCCACACTTTTTTTATCCATTTCATGAGGATACCAATCCCCACTGAACAAGAATTCATCACCAGGATCCTGGGTATGGCAAGAGACTTTTCTAAAAGTTCAGTACAGAGCTTTACATTTCACAAGTCACATAAAAAGGCAGGGAATGCTATCAATACAGAGAACACATTTTGTGGAAAAGAACGTGGCAAATACAGGAAATGCCAATTTTCTTTTACAACCTTGCCATCACGTCTCCTTGCATTAGGCTTCTCTGACAGAACCCACTGTCATCTTAACATTAATGTACACAAGTCTAGTGCACTGCCTATCTCTCTCAAGCACAAATCAAATGCAGCTAGTTCCTAATGACCCAGGAAGTTCTTACAAACACAGGAATTTGTTAGAGCATGCGTATTTGGGTCTGGTTCTTGTTAAACAGGACTAATAGTCTCCTAGTCTGCAGAGCACTAGAGAAATAACCTGAGCCTGATTATTGCTCTACAGAAGTATTTTGGATGAAGTATCACAGAGCTGCAAATTAGCCCATATGGAGCTCCTTGCTACCAAAGTCAGAATGGTTCCCAGTACCCAAACCAGAGCATTTCAGAGTTCAGATACAATCTTTCTTTATGACGCTGTGCTGCAAAAATATCATTTAAATGGAAAAACATCGGAAAAAAAAGAATTTTTGTCTGCAGAATCACGTATGCCAGATGCGTATGCCTGCTGGGGAAGCAGAAGGGGTGTTGCTTTATCATCAGCTAAGAAGCTTCTTTAGCAGAGATGAATACACACAAGAACGGGAGGGCTTGCTGGAATGCAGTTTTGGAAAAAACGTATGTGAAGGGTGGCCGTTGCTGGTTTTATTTTATACAACAATTTGATGCTCATTGACCTAACCTGATAACTTAAGTACTAGATACTTAATTTTTATTCCTCGAATGGTACACTGACATGCTAAGAAGTTATTTGTTAACAAAGTCTGGTAAACTGTGTTTACATGACAGTTGTAAACCTGCATTGAAAAGAAATCACTGATTAATCCTATTTTATTCTTTTTATGCAAGCTATATGACAGAAAAGGGATTTAAGTCACTCAGACGGTTAAAAGCAAAGTCCCCCTCCCCACCAAAAGAAGAAAAGAACAAGAAAAAAAAAAAGAAAAATAACAGCATGATTAAAATGCCACAAGTGCTAACAGAGTTCTGCAAATCCTATAAAAAGAAAGGAGAACAAAAACCTACAAAAATGGTTTCCAGGTCCAGGATAATGATGTCCTTTGTAAGCTGCCATCAAGCCAGGGTTTATGCCAATCTACAAAGCAAGATATCAGTTCATTTTAACGATGAGAAGATGGCATCCTGATCAGAAATTTGATCAAGTTACATTAAGCAAATGTCTTCAATTCTCTTAATTAATGCCAGTAAACAAAACTATGTAAATGATATCTTCCATTATTATTCAAAGAATTGACAGTTGTACCAGGGCCTCGGTTTAAGTGTGTAACGTCAAAAGAGCAGCTCATAGCGTGTTTTACAGCCACTGATTAAAGCTTACAGTAAATAAAGCGTGAAGTAACGGTCTTTCATTATATTTGACCTTATACTTCTCAGAAACTTTCATTATGTTACTATGATTTTTAACAGAAAATGCAAAGCTTCTGTACACAGGAAACGGTTTAGATTCTTACATGGCAAGATCTAGCAAAATAAAGTGAGAGAGATGAGTAAGCAACAGGAACGTACATCACAACCAGTGAATACAGACTATTCACATTTCTACCTAATCCTGTAACTGTGAGTTACTTACTATTACAATATCCAGATCAAAGGTCAAAATATCAGGTAAAGTCTTGGTAAGAAGTTCCGCTTCAGATACGCCATTAAAACGGTCCACTTTTCTTTTGACTTTAAAAGTATCTGTGATTTTTTCTTGTTTGCCTTTTGACTTGGCTGATTTTTCTTTTTTAGCAGCAGGTTTTTTGGGTTGCTTTGGCTCAGTTGCTTTGGCTTTTCTTTTCCTTCCTCCTTTTGCAACTTCTGAAACACATAATAAATTTCCTTTTTTTTAACATTTCTAATGCTACTGCATGGACATTCACAAAGATTGAATTGGATGTATGAATATCTCCTAAATATTCATGAATGTAAACAATTATCAGACAAACCTCAATTTTCCAGGATCAGCCTAGAGCCAGCTTGTGCATCTCTGCGCTACAGACGTATGCTACTCACAGACAACTAAGCTGACTAAAGATACAAACCAATGAAAATAATCTCAGGGCTGGGGTATGTTGTTTACATGCTATATACAACAATCCTTTGGAAATGGTTTAATTTCTTTTGGAGAACAAGGAACATAACAGCAAGTTCTAGACCACGCTAATCCACACGACAGCTTCCAAATGTAAAAGCTGATTGTTACAGACCACGTGACATAACGAAGAAACTAAACAGCACATCAAAAGCAACAGGTCTCAAAGATTACATACAGCGTAAGGTATAAATTTGACACAAATTCAATCTTACACACTAAGTACTGCATAAACTATTCACAATTTACTGTTTACGGAACAGATACTGTTCAGTGAGGTATGTAACTAGGCAACATTTGAGAGCTCCAGGGTCTCGATTTGAACCAGTGAGACCAAACGTGAATTTTTAATTTACAAAGTGCAAACAAAGCAGTCACTTTTCGTGTAGTTGAAGCTTCCTTATCTTCCGGCGCTGCAAGCTTAGAAATTAATCGACACAGATACTGGTCACAACACGAACACCTACAGATTGCTCTCTGTCCTGCTCATTAATGCCAAGCGGCAGAACACGACCAGAAAATTTCAAAACGTATTTGGCAGCAACCAGCAGACACCCAAAGTTATCTATTACTTTTAAAAATAAGGTGAAGCCTCAATTGTAAAGTTTCTCATTGAGATTCTTCCTCAGACAAGAAATATAGTGGAGATGAGGGCACTGCCCTCCCTAGTCTGCAGACATTTCTGGGCTGTTCTTGTTTGCACTCAGCTTTCTTGCAAGGAGCAAGACAAAAGCCATGTCAAATTCCCATCACGTCCTTGGAGCAACAGTTTAGGAAAGCTGTAATGGTATTTCAGCTCTAGTCTACTCACAATGAAGGAGAGACTAGAAAGCTGCAAACTCGGTGAGGTACATAGGCAGCTTTCCTATCTCTTGGAAGAACTAGGAGTTTTTTTTTTTTTTAACGTGATGGCAAAATGCAAGAGATGCATCCAACTCAGAGCTGCCAGAGGATTTCAAATGAAGCAGAAGAACATCCTCCTAACTCTCAAACTGATCAGATACCACCGACCAGGTACTGTCATAAAAAACGGACTGCCTGACCACAACGCCAGGGCAGCCTTTCAGAGGGCAATCCCGAAAGTTTTACTTTCCTCATGACAGCACATTTCAAATCTTTGTCCTTCATATTTGCTCCTGTAGATTTCACAAGTAATTTTCAAGCCCTGCCTTTGAAGGTTTTACCCGACTCAATTCCTAAAAAATCATCATGCGACAGCTTCAAAACTCAAGATTAAAACCACCTAAAAATACTTGAAAGGGCAGTCAAACAGCATGCTCATGGCCACACCACGTTTTCCCAATAATACAGGTACAAAAGAAATCCTTCTATATTAAATATGGCACTTGAGATGCATAATAACTGCAGTGAATAATATAGTGAATAATTGAGCAGTTGCTACTCTCTGAAATAGGAGGTTTTGTTCCTATGCTTTCATCCAGTGTTACAACTAAAAAGACAGACTTAGGCATACCAACGCACATACTTAAGCAGGCAATGTCATTGCATGAACTGACTGATATGTTGATACAGACTGCTCTGACCCGTACCTATATATGAAAAGCAAGACGAAACTCAGTGCATGAATACTTGCTGCAGAATCAGAATTTAAGTTTGGCAGAGATCGCTGCCTTTTATATCAGGTGAGGACCGAGCACCAGAGCAACAGAACTAAAAGGAAGACCTAAAGACGTAAGACCTAAACGAACAAAATCCTCGCAGGGAAGAAGGACGGCAATGTAGAAGTGCATAAATTAGAAAACACATGTGACATACAGTATACTTCTTAGTTTTTATGCATTTGTTTAAGAAAAAGGGACACTCATTAAAAAACAAACAATCCTTAGTGCATACTAGCAATTCAGTATTTGTGATTATTATAACACACCAAAGAAACACCATTTTAACAAAAATACTTTAAATAAACAATATTACACTGTATTTTTCTTTCACAATTAAAAAGCAAAACAAAACAACTTTCAGCTCAGCCTAGAAAAAAAGAGAGACAGCCTTCCCTCTCTAACCTAATGTTAAATGCCGTGAAACCAACTAAAGATGATACTTTTACCTATTAAAACAAAAATTCGCTGTTCTTGGGACAAGATAATTTTTCGAAACTGGACTACTTGAATATTATAATCAGGTTTAACTCTACTACTTGGTAACAAATGTTACTAAAAAGAATACATCCTCATACTGAATTAAATTCTCAATACATACTGAAAGTATACATACTCTATACTTCCTCAAAGAGCACCAAGGAAAGGAAATCCAATAGGTCTAAAGAAGCAGTTTATTAAAACAAATATACGTATACACATACGTACACACAGGTACGTGTATATATATATTTAAATCAAGAAATTTTTTTTAGCTCGGTTAATATAGTCCGATCAAGCTACCTACCTTTAGTAGGTTCCTGAGCCAAGTTTGGCTCTGGAACGTCCTCTAGAGTGGGCTGCTCAGTCACGGCTTCCATGTTGGGCACTGCAGTCATCATTGGATGGAACGGAAACGTATAAAAGGCTTGAATTTGCTGAAGATGCGAGTAATATCTTAGAAAGGCGGAAAAAAAAAAAAAAGACAATTCATCCACAATTTCGAAATTCAGTGATGGACCAAGTAGTCTGTAATCACCAATCTCTGTCAAGGCTGGCATGTACTGCAAGTACGCTCTCCAGTATAGTCTGTTAGCAAAACAAGGCAGTAAATTATCCAAATCCACTAAGTAGTCAGACTGTTTCTTGGGTGTGGGATGATGTTCAACTCAACAGGAATAGCCCAACCCTCTTTTAAGTAACAAAAGGTTAAAGAATTGCAACACTGTAAGCACAGCCTAGAGCTTCCATTCCTCTGGAAAAACACTTTGTAGAATATATTAACAGCACAAGCTGTCTATCAAATGCAGTGACCAAGTACAACACAACTGAGTTAAAACTCTTTGGACTTAAAAGGTTTCCCAACTTTTAAATTTTCTTACTGTCACAGCAGTTACTTTATCTGATGACACAGAACGGATGTGCAGAATGGGGTACAAAACCTTACAAACACACGTAGCAGTAGTTACTGCGCAGATTACTAAAGAGCTTTAAGAAACAGTGCAGTAGATGCTGTCCAGTTACTTCGCTCTGCAGCTCAACACAAGTACTGTGCTTATTCTATAGAAAAGCATTTATGCACAGATTCAGCCTCCTTCCATGCACACAGACGTTTTGCCCTACGTAACCCTTCTGCTCTACGTATCTATTAGACACGTGCAGGCCATACATACCAACAAAAACTTGTGCTTCGTATTTCCATTCCCTCTACCTATATAGCCTGCTTTTTGTCCATAGATTTCCACTGCTATTCAGATGCATAAAAGAGTTTTCACGAACAGTAAAACTGCAAAGAATATGTTCATCATCTCAAAGCTACTCATAAACATACCGAATAATTTTAGCTATATATGGGTACCTCAAAGGCACACACTTACCACCCTTGCGATGGGGAGGCATCATTCTCTGTTATTCAATGAATATTTAAGAATCCTACTGTAAATCAGATTTATCCCAGAACAGCCCACAGTCTTGCGATCAGTCCACTAACCTTGAACCAAATACCTGCCCTGAATCAAGGAGAACGAACCTGAACTTAGGTCTCCCAGATTTCTGGGGAGCAGTCCAACGAAGCCATGGGATGTTTTCGGAGTATAGTAAACACCCCAGTCTCTCCAGCTAGCGTTGTTCCATTTAATATAAAATACTCATGCAACTACTGAACCAGGCAGCAAAACTGATTGTCAGATACGTGTTAGGGAACACAGCTGAGACAAAGAATCCAGTTCCTAGTCCGCTAAACGCTTAATTATACAGAACAGGAAAACGTCTGAGAGAGACTTAAAAGTGTCTAGCACAAAAAGAGTCGCTAACAAGATAATCTCTTATAAGGTCCCGATCAAACTCCCTTTAAACAGAAGAAAATTTGGCACCATGTCACAGACGAGTCCTCTAACCGCTTAGTGATGGGACGAAAGAGAGCCTTCACCCTCACCCCTAACGCTCGTATACATCTTTTTGTTTTTAACTTCTTTTGGAGAATCGTTTTTCTTGTAAAGGTTCAGAACCACGACGTTTTGTTACAGATGAACGGGATATGTTATGGAACGTGTTACAGGCAAAAAAGAACGTTCAAATAAATATTGTCAGTTCAACAAAGAAAAAAAAACACGGATTGAAACCCCTTCAATTCAGTGCAAGCTAGAAAGGAATAAAAAGAAAAAATCCCCCCAGAAGAAAAAAATATATATATTAAGTCACTTGCAAATTCCACCTCTACGCGCGCAGCCCTCTCTTTTACACACAATGAGCCCCAGAGCCGCTCAACCCCCACAGAAACG